AGCAGGAGCAAAGAAGAGGGAGAGAGAGCGAAGAATGCAGTTTAAACCATCTCTTCCATCAATCATGATGGGAAATGTGAGATCACTGGGAAACAAGTTGGATGAACTTCAAGCCCTAACAAGGACTCATCCAGAGTATCGAGAATGCAGTGTTATGTGTTTCACTGCGACATGGCTGCAGGATCATATCCCCGACTCCAGCGTTTCCTTGCCAGGCTTTCTGACCATACGAGCAGATAGAGATTTAAAGAGGAGTGGCAAAAGGAAAGGAGGTGGGTTGGCAGTGCTTGTGAACAACAGATGGTGTAATCCTGGACATGTTACTGTGAAGTGTCGTCTCTGCAGTCAATTCAATTCAATTCAATTCAATTCAAAAATACTTTATTAATCCCAGAGGGAAATTAAATGTTGTTGTAACTCATCATCCTGGTTTCATTAATGAGTTGTTCTAGATGCTGAAGGCTGTGGGCAGGAAGGATCTCTTGTAGTGGTCTGTCATACAACGGAACTGAAGAAGCCTCTGACTGAAGACACTCTGTTGTTGTATGACAGTCTGATGAAGAGGATGCTGAGGGTTGTCTATAATGTTCTTCACTTTATGAAGAATCCTTCTTTGTACAATCATCTCCAAAGGTTCTAGAGGAGCCCCCAGAACTGAGCCAGCCTTCTTTATGAGCTTGTTGATCTTTTTTAAGTCACTTGCTCTGGTGCTGCTACCCCAGCAGATGATGGCAGAAGAGATAGCGCTCTCTACAACAAACTTATAGAAGATATGATATATGTTGCAATATCTGGGGATTTTAATCATGCCTCTCTCTCTGCTACACTTCCGACATTCCAACAGTTTGTCAGCTGCTCTACCAGAGAAAACAAAACACTGGACTTGTTTTATGCAAATGTCAAGGATTCATACATCGCTAAAGCAAGACCCTCTCTTGGCAAATCAGATCACAATCTTGTGTTTCTCTGCTCAAAATATAAACCCCTTGTTCAGAGGCAACCTGCAATAAAGAGAATAGTGAGAAAATGGTCAACGGAAGCTGAAAAAGCCCTGCAGGGTTGTTTTGAGGCTACAGACTGGGATGCACTGTGCCAGCCACATGGATAGGACATCAATGCCATGACTGAGTGTGTGACCGACTATATAAACTTCTGTGTAAACAACACCATACCCACCAGAACAGTGAGATGCTTCCCCAATAACAAACCCTGGATTACCACTGACCTGAAGGAACTGCTAAACCAGAAAAAAAGAGCATTCAGGGAGGGAGACAGGGAATTATTGAGGAGCACACAGAAGCAACTAAAAGTCAAGATGAGAAACAGCAAGGAGGTGTACAAGAAGAAGCTAGAAAGCAAGCTCCAACAGAACAATATCAGAGAGGTGTGGTCAGGGATGAAACAGAGCACAGGCTTCAAGCAGAAGGAGGATCAGAAGGATGGAAGCCTGGACAGAGCCAATGAACTGAACACATTCTTCAATAGGTTCAGTTCAGGAACAAGCTCAGCATCCTCCTCTCTTGCCCACAGCCAAACAGACATACCACCCTCCATTGACCCAACACTGTCCTGTCACACCTCAAATACTGTACCTCAGTCATGGACCCTTCTTCTACATGTTGGTCTTCAACCAAATCAGAAGATGCTGATACCTCTTTTGCCTCCCCCCTCTGCATCTCCAGAAGTCAGGTGAGGAAGCAGCTGGAGAGACTGAACCAGAATAAGGCTGCAGGTCCAGATGGTGTCAGTCCCAGAGTCCTGAAGGTCTGTGCAGAGCAGCTCTGTGGGGTTCTGCAGCACCTCTTCAACCTTAGCCTGACCCAGGAGAAGGTGCCAGTGTTGTGGAAAACATCCTGCCTTGTTCTAGTGCCAAAGAAAACTCACCCATCAGTCCTCAATGACTATAGACCTGTTGCCCTGACATCCCACATCATGAAGGTCCTAGAGAGACTTCTGCTGACCCACCTGACTAGACAAACAAGCACATATCAGGACCCACTGCAGTTTCTGATTATCAGCGTGGACTTGGAGTTGAAGATCCAATCATACACCTGCTTCAGCAAACTCACTGTCATCTAGAAAAGGCAGACAGCACTGTGAGAGTCATGTTCTTTGATTTCTCCAGTTTAACACAATCCAGCCTGATCTGCTTTGTCATAAACTCCAGAAGACTCAGGTGGAGGCCTCAACAATCACCTGGATCAAAGATTACCTGACAAACAGACCACAGTTTGTGAGACTGAAGGGTTGTGTGTCTGACCAGGTGGTCAGTAGCTCAGGAGCACCACAGGGGACTATACTCTCACCATTTCTTTTCACTTTGTACACCTCAGATTTCCAGTAAAAAACAGACTCCTGTCATCTGCAGAAATATTCTGATGACTCTGCAGTGGTCGGGTGTATCAGAGATGGACACGAAGCTGAGTACAGGGAACTGGTGGACCACTTTGTGGCATGGTGTGGAAACAATCATCTCATCTTGAACGTGAACAAAACAAAAGAGATGATTGTAGATTTCAGGAGAAATATGAACAGGTCCAACAATATTTCTAGAATTGCGCCGCTCAAGGTGGCTGCATGTTGGAGCAGCTCTGCTACTTTCATTCTGAGATTTTGCTTTTGGAAACTTTAATTTCTGGTTTTCTGGATGTAAATCACATTTTTTGAATTATTGTTTCCTCTGGTATCGGATGCTGTGCAGCTGGAAGGATTTTTACTGAAACATTTTTTAGTTTTGGACATTTGTTATGATGTGTAACCATGGCAACAAAGCAGTTTTATACAACCAACAGCAGGGGATTAACATCTCAAAAGCTCAAATAGTATCTCAACTACAGCCCCAAATCTCAAATGAGTTGAAAAGGATGTTCTGTGGATGAATTCTCATCTACCTGCCAGCTGTGCTCGAGTGCCTGACCACTGAGATCCTGGAACTAGCAGGAAACACGGCTCATGACAGCTGAAGGACAGGATCGTCCCTCAGCACCTACAGTTGGCTGTCTGCAGCGACAAGGAGCTCGGCAGACTGCTGGGAGGAGTAGCCATCGCTCTGGGAGGAGGTCTGCCCGGCATTCGGGTGGTCCTACAGCCTGGGGGAACTGAGAGGCCAGCTGAGTCTGGGACTCTGGGTGGACGGATCGGATGGCATCTGCAGCCAGTTTCTTAGGATCCACTGTGGGATGAACCTTTACAAGAGATCCTTCCTGCCTACAGCCATCAGTATCTATAACATCACTTAATGAAATGAGGATAACGAGTTACAACAACAAATAATTTCCCTTTTGGACAAATAAAGTATTTTTGAATTTGAATTGAATTGAATTTAATTTCCATCATGGGAGAAGAAGTTGAGGTGGTGGAGAAGTATAAATACCTTGGAGTTCACCTGGACAACAGACTGGATTGGAAATGCAACAGTGAAGCGTCTACAAGAAGGGACAGAGCAGACTGTACTTCTTGAGGAAGCTGGAGTCCTTTAACATTTGCAGCAAGATGCTGCATATCTTCTATAAGTCTGTTGTAGAGAGCGCTGTCTCTTCTGCCATCATCTGCTGGGGGAGCAGCACCAGAGCAAGTGACTTAAAAAAGATCAACAAGCTCATAAAGAAGGCTGGCTCAGTTCTGGGGACTCCTCTAGAACCTTTGGAGATGATTGTACAAAGAAGGATTCTTCATAAAATGAAAATTATAGACAACCCTCAGCATCCTCTTCATCAGACTGTCATACAACAACAGAGTGTCTTCAGTCAGAGGCTTCTTCAGATCCGTTGTATGACAGAAGCTACAAGAGATCCTTCCTGTCCACAGCCATCAGCATCTAGAACAACTCTTTAATGAAACCAGAATGATGAGTTACAACATTTAATTTCCCTCTGGGATTAATAAAATATATTTGAATTGAATCTGCATGTGAGTGGAGCCCCCTAGTGGTCAGCCACACTATGAGTGTTTGGGGTGCATGCTCACAGACGTATTTTGTATGTCTATGTGTGCACCTGTCGCCTCGCCAACTTGGGCCGGAGCGATAAACAGGAAATGGGGGCGTGGAAGGGACAACCTATCTACTATCACTCGTCTTTAGCTTTATTGTGCGGAGCTGGGAGATAATCAACTAGTTTTACACGGAAAGAAAGTCGAGCCCAAATAAGCAACTTCACATTCAAAACAAGCCCAAAAAACCGCAACCCGCGACTCACAAGATTTGCAAGCAACTTTAGAAAAAAACAAGCCCAAAGTCGCTTATAATAAGCGGACTTGGCAACTATGCTTCTATCCTTTTTTCATCTTTAGATACTACGACCGCTTTGAGGTGTAGAAATGCTTGTCACATTTATATGAAATAATTTAAATTATAAAACCAAAACAGAAACAAAACACGCACACACATGCACGCACGCACGCACACTTAAATGGTTACAGATGAGCTAAACACTAAATTAAAAGCCAAGATTAAAATTTACTCTATGTGGCATGATGAAATGTGCAATAATAATCAACCAAACAGCTAAATTTAAATAAATAATTAAACCCATACAAAGGAGTCACATTTTAAAACCACAAGTACCAGTACATCAAAAACAAGATGACTACAAGCTCCTAATAAGCATACAGCACAGGCATGCGTGCACACACAAACACATGGTGTTTTTTTGTTTTTTTTTACTTCCTGCTCCTTCCTTCCAGCCAGGTTAGCTTCAGAGCAGGGAAGCTTTGCTAAGAACCAATATTGATGAATGATTTGTTGAAATGTGTTTTAATAGGTTTACTCAAAATCTGCCGATCTGGCTCCAAACACGCCCAAATTATCCCCATCAGCCCAAAGCAATTTTTACCTGTAAAATCAAAATGGAAACCTCCCAAGTGGCGGTAAACCGCCCTTTCTAGCAACACTGAGTCCTGAGGTTAGGAGCTTGGCTCAGACAGAGGCTCCAGTGCAACTAGTGTCTTGTGTCAACATCCTGTGTGTTGTGGACACAACATGGCCGCTCTAAACAGAGGACTCATGTCCTCACTGAGGAGCGGATCAGCGGGACACCGGAAGACTGGGTGTGGGCAGAGGAATACTCTGTTGGAGAACTTAAAGTATGACCTGAAAGGACACAGAAGAAAACACACCATCAGGGGAAACGTTCCACATACAGCTAAAACCAGATGTTTACATACACAGTATAAAAAGGCAACCATTTTTTACTTATTGTTTGACATTAAATCTGACTAAATTTTTCTTGTTTAAGCTCAAATAAAATTCCTAAAATTATTATTATTATATCTATTTGCTAAAAGCCTGAAAAATAGAATATTTATTTATTACGTTCTTCAAAGTCACAAGTTACATACAGTAGAATTAGTTAATCTTTAAACAATCTGGGAAAGAATGGATGAGGATGTCATGGCTTTGGAAGGGTTTTGATAGTTAGAAGATGTTACAAATTTAATCTTGCTGGTGGCCCGGTCTGGTCTATTCTGACTCATAACCTGGTCCAGAACAGATAATATCAGTCTCAACTGCTCACAATGAGTGATCCCAGGGTCAACACCCGATAAGGAGTCATTTTTGTTGATTGCTTCAAACACTTAGATCAGTGGCGGCTGGCCAATAACGGGCACTAGGGCACCGCTCCACCACTCACACCACTCACCACATTACAGTGAAGAAAAAAAAGGAAATAAAAATTAAATAATAAAATAAAAAATATTTTGAAATATATGTGTGTATATATATGTGTGTATATATATATATATATATATATATATATATATATATATATATATATATATATATATTTAGTTGTGTGAGATAAATATTTCATAGTTAATGATGAGTAAAGTCCATCCATCCATTATCTTTACCCGCTTATTCCATTTTGGATCACGGGGGTCGCTGGTGCCCATGTCCAGCAATCACTGTGCGAGGGGCGGGGGACACCCTGGATGGGTCGCAAGTCCATCACAGGGCCACATAGAGACAAACGAGACAAACAACCATTCACTCTCCCACTCACACCTAGGGACAATTTAGAGTTACCAATCAGCCTAACATGCATGTTTTTGGTCTGTGGGAGGAAACCGGAGCACCCGGAGAAAACCCACGCATGCACGGAGAGAACATGCAAACTCCACCCAGAAAGGCCCCTGGACCGGGGTTTGAACCAAGGACTTGCTCGCTGAGAGGCATGATGAGTAAAGTTTCTTTCAAAAAAGTTGTCTCTGATTGATGACATATTTCTGCCTGGCGCAAGAATCTTTTCCCATAGATTCTCGTTAAAAGTTGTACACGTGCAGTTAGCTCCTCTTCATTACAAGAGATAGGACTATTCTGGGCACAACTCACAAAGGCTTCTGTTGCTATGGCGGCACACAGAAGTGCAGTGGCTTCTCATGCTCCCGGTATTAAGCCCTTTTTTTATTATTTTATTTCCTATGAGGCTGTTTTAGGCACTAGTTCAGTGCTAAATTCACGGCTCAAGTAAAGCTCAACCGAACTGATGGCCATCAGAAACAGTTGGGTTGTTAATACAGACCCTTTCCAAAAAATTAAAATATCATGGAAAAGTTGTTTAACTTCAATAATTCCATTCAAAAAGTTAATCTTTAATAGATGATAGATTCAAGGCCCACAAATTAAACAATTTCAAGTATTTATTTGATTATTTTTACATAATTTGGGCTTCCAGCTCATGAAACCCACAAAAACAAGATTTAAAAAAAATAGAATACTGTGGAAAAATCAGCCCAAATTTTGCAGGGCATGAATGAGTGTGACACACAAATCATCTACTAAACTCAAAGCATCTGCACAGGTTTCTCCAGGTGTCATTTAATTGCTTCAGTTTGGTTCAATTGTCTCAGTTCAGTTCAATATGGGGAAGACTGCAGACAGAACTGGCCAGAAGACCATCATTGATACCCTCCATAAGATCAGAATCATAATAAACTTTATTGGCATTGCACCGAGATACAACGCGAATATGTACGTACAGTCATCCGAAGATGGGCGGAGTGCATGAAGCTGCGGCTATAAATAATCAGCGCGGCCTCTTATTCTTATTCAGAATAATATTTTGCTTAGATAAGAAAAGGAAAGAAAACATGAGGAGAGACGGTATAAAAAAAGATCTCTCACTCCGTGTCCTAGACGGGGCACGATTTGAGAGATCAAAAAAACCTACCACAGCAAAGCAACATAAACAGACGTTATACATGAACATATAGGCGGTGTAAACATTGAATTTTTAAGGGAAAGTCGTAGCATAGTCCAGAGCCCCCCCCTCAGCCATTGTCCAGATAAGAGGTGACGTTCATCTTCAGCTCAGTTGAGGTTCTGTCACATGTCCTTGGGGAAGGGAGGGGTGAGGAAACAGTCAAAGCATCTTTGTTGATTCCAAACATTCCCGGAGGAGTTGAGATAAGTCCGGCATCAAGGCCACCGTTTGGGTCAGGCAGAACTCGTAATTATTGTTTCTGCCTTTAAAGTCTCGCTGGTACATATTCTCTGATGGAAACTCCAAAACAGCCGAATTGAACCTTTACTCCAAAAGTCGAGCTCACAGCTTCTCCAGATCATTCCACCATTCATGAGTGCTGCCAGGGAGATCACAGTCCTGATAACAGCTGCTCCAATTCCCTGTCACAGCTCCACATTCAGTCCGAGCACTGTCAAGCTTCAACACCTCCACACGAATTTGTAGACAACCAGATTTCAACAACCCAAACAGTAGAATCTAGTTGTTATCATGAATCCAATTTGTTTCCTTAGAGGTCAGAGGGTCCTCCTTACCCTGACTCCTGTCGGGAGAAGTTGATCGATTTTGTTGAGAGACCAGCTGATCCTTCCAATTAAGAGGTATACAGGAAAAAAAGAGGCTTTTTTAAGGGTTCACAGGACAAAAGAGCGCAGCAGGGAAGCGGGTGGGGGGGGAGGGAAAACACGCCTGGTTTCATCGTAGAATAGCAGGAAAAAAAAGATGGGTAAGTCACAAAAGTTCATAGCTAAGGAGGCTGGCTGTTCACAGAGTGCTGTGTCCAAGCATATCAATGGAAAGTCTAGTGGAAGGGCAAAATGTGGCAGGAGAAGATGCACCAGCAAAACAGATGACCATGGGGTTCAGCGGATTATCAAATAGAGAAGATTCCAGAATCTGGCAGAGATCCAGAAAGAGTGGAATGAGGTGGGAGTCACAGCTTCAAAAACCACCACATTCAGACTCATCCAGGAGATGGACTACAACTGTCAGGTTCCTCGGTCCTCTTTTCCGATGAAAGTAAAGCGTGCCTTTCATTCGGAAATCAAAGTCCAAGGGTTTGGAGGAAGAAGGGTGAGGAACAGAACCCATACTGCTTGAGGTCCAGTGTGAAATATCCACAGTCGTTCATGATTTAGGGTGCAATGTCCGGTGCAGGTGTTGGTAAACTCTTTTAAATCCAAGGTCGCCACAATAGTCTACCAGAATGTTTTAGAAGACTTCCTGATTCCATCTGCTGAGCATCTGTATGGAGATGCAGATTTCATCTTCCAGCAGGACCTGGCCCCTGCCCATGCCGCCAGAAGCACCACAATCTGGTTTGATGCCCATGCCAACTCGCCGGACCTAAACCAAATTGAGAATCTATGGGGTATTCTCAAGAGGAAAACGAGTGGCACCAGATCCAACAACAAAGAAGAGCTGACAGCAAGTATCAAGGAAATCTGGGCTTCCATAACTCCCAGTCAATGCCACAGGCTGATCGCCTCAAAGCCACATTGCATCAGGGCAGTGATTAAGGCAAAAGGATTCCCAACCAAGTATTAAAGGTTGACATATCGTTTTGAAAGTACCATATTTTTGATTGATTCGTTGTGATCCTGATTTCATTCTTTTTTTTCTTGCAAAAACTGAGTAGTGTGGGCTGATTTCTTCACAGCATTCTAATTTTTTTGAAATCCTGATTTCATGGGTTTCATGAACTGGAAGCCCAAATTACGTAAAAATAAAAAAATAAATACTTGAAATTGTTTAAATCGTGGACCTTGAATCTATCATCTATTAAAGATTAACTTTTTGAATGGAATTTTGGAAGTTAAACAACTTTTCCATGAAATTCTAATTTTTTGGAAATGTTCTGTACAGTGAGGAAAAAAGTATTTGAACACGCTGCGACTTTCCAAGTTCTTCCACTTAGAAATCATGGAGGGGTCTAAAATTTTCATCTTAGGTGCATGTCCAATTTGAGAGAAATAAACAAACAAAACAACAACAAAAAAATGTAATTCACAATGCATGATTTTTTAAATAATTTATTTGTGTTACTGTTGCAAATAAGTATTTGAACACCTGTGAAAATCAATGTTAATATTTGGTACTGTAGCCTTTGTTTGCAGTTACAGAGGTCAAAGGTTTCCTGTAGTTTTCCACCAGGTTTACTGCAGCAGGATTTTGGCCCATTCCTCCACACACATCTTCTCTAGATCAACCAGGTTTCTGGGCTGTCGCTGAGAAACACAGAGTTTGAGCTCCCTCCAAAGATTTTCTATAGGGTTTAGGTCTGGAGACTGGCTGGGCCACTCCAAAACCTTGATATGTTCTTACGGAGCCACTCCTTGGTTCTCCTGGCTGTGCGCTTCAGGTCATTGTCATGTTGGAAGACCCAGCCATGACTCATCTTCAATGCTCTAACTGAGGGAAGGAGGTTGTTCCCCAAAATCTCGCAATACATAATCCCGGTCATCCTCTTCTTAAAACAGTGCAGTCGTCCTGTCCCATGTGAAGAGAAACACCCCCAAAGCATGATGCTTCCACCCCCATGCTTCACAGTAGGGATGGTACTCATCATTCTTCGTCCTCCAAACACGGCGAGTGGAATTAAGACCAATTAAAGCTGTAAGCAGCATTGAAGGTCCTCACAGCAAAGCGTCGCTCCGGCCATACCGCGACCGCGGGAGCTCCAGCCACTCCACTCAGTCGCCATCGCAAACGCTCTCGTGCCTATCCCACACGCGTTCACCATCAGGCACATTTCCTGAATCTTTGACATCGGTCTTACAAGTATACATGAAATTCGACCTTCCAGACAGGAATTATTGTGACTTCCTGTTTTGCTGCGAATGTTTGA